TTCTGACTTTGCATGTTTTCAATGCGGAATCTGACAGATCTTGACGAGTGCAGTCGGATCCCATGATTAGAAAAATAAAACAAAAAAATTGGGCATTTTTGGGGGGCCATCCAGTTTTGCCGGTTCACCCCCCTGAACCCGTGCAGTCCCGGTTGGACGGCAGGTGAACTGGCGGGTTCCCGGCCCAGCCTTGCTAGGTACATTTTTCAACTGTTTCTAAGCTTGCTCGTTGTAATGCCCCCGTTCATCTGAGTTCTCTTTCTAGAGTCAACCTGCCACCTGTTCGTTACTTCAAACAGTATCAGCCAAGATCTGTTGTGAATTTCTTACCCAGTCTTCAGTTTGTAGTCTATCAAACTGGTAGACTTTTTCGGAACCGGAGTTTTCCTCTTCGTCTTTGCCCTCAACTCCGACTGTCCAACCCATTGTCCAGAGTCTTCGGTTTGGGCGCCCGATTGGCGATCGTCCTTTGTCTTCGCCCTCAACTCCGACTGTCCAACCCATTGATCGCACAAGCGCCAGAGCAGAGCTTCTGCAGCATGCAAATTGCCAAGTGATTAAATGCTGTACTGTAGCAACTATAAATTGCATCACAAGTGAATCGTTGTCGGGCTCCAGTCCGGTAGCGGTCGACCCGGCCTGTCGGCTGCCAGTTGCCAGTTGCGGAACCTACCTGGCTTTCCGAGGATGCTGCTCGAAAATTGGGTCTTCGGGACTGTAGACTTTTATTGCCGGGTACCGGGCCTACGACTTCTGACAACCTGACCGTCGGACCCTACAGACCTAGGACCCTCTAACTGGGACCTACCGGGGCCAAATGGGACTGGGCCCAGGTGGGACTCTGGGACCAGGACGCGGGACATGGTCACAGCGTGAAATCCCTTCACTATGCCTCTTTCTTTGCTCTCTGTCTGGGTAGGAAATCGAAACACTCTTCGAAGATTCCACGGATGTCTAAGTTGACAGTGGCTTCTGTATCGTTTTTTTTTTTTTTTTTGCTCTGTGTCGTTTTTTGTTGTTGTTCATGTTTTTTTATTTTTTCTCACCTTTCGTACCCTTGGGAATTACATTGTTTTTTTTTTTTTTTTTTTTTKCCATTGAAATAATTGAACTTGCAGACGACCAAGGCAGCCATCTTGCACACCTTGCAACGCATTGCAGTCGCAAAGCTTTCAGATACGGCCAAAGAGCTTATGCAAGCCTCTCTTCTCACGCTACGAGATGACTACAACGAATTTTCGGACGATAAAGGAGAGACGTACTTCAACGATGTTGTTGTGAGTATTATTACAAATATAGTAAATTAGTAATATACCCATTCTGCAACTGCAGTTCAGTTCCGTCATTGGACGCATCTTTTTGCTCTTTTCTTTTTTCTTTTTTTACACATCTTTTCTCTCTAATTTCTCTGAAAGAAAAAAATGTGTGCTGATTGGATATGAAGACGGGGACTGAATGTGACCTCCATGACGTACCTTATCCGTGATGATAGATTGAATTGTCGACTGAATAGAGACTGAATCGGATTGAGTTGTGGATTGAATTGGATTGATTGATTAGTTGAGTGGTCACTTGATTGATTACTTAAATTAATTTCATTGAAATGGATTGATTACTTAAATTAATTTCATTGAGATGGATTGATTACTTAAATTGATTTCATTGACATGGATTGAAACATATTGCAAAATGATTCATGAATTAGGTTTAATTTCATTCCGATTGAATTTGATTGAATCATTGAATTGATTCATTAATTGACTAATTCATTAATTGATTGATTCAATTTGATTGATTGATTCAGTTTGATTGATTGATTGATTCGATTTGATTGATTGATTCAATTTGATTGAATTGGCTGTATCCACTTATTGGTTCAATTGTCTCGATTGCATTGTTTTCTCGACTTACTGTAGTACCATAGATTGATTGACTTGTTGCGGCAATATCACCTAATTGCCATTGACTGGTGGACTAATTTGTCGTTGACTGGTTGACCGATTGGCCATCGGTTTGTACTACTTGTACATCGATTTTGACATCGATGGATTGACTAACAGTCTTGGAATGGTGGACTCATTTTTCATGGGTTGTTGGTACTACTTGGTAGATTGATGTATTTAGTATTTATTGTATTGGTCTTAATGTTTGTCAATGGATACATGATGCAGGCATTTTGGAAGCGGAACGGGAGCCTGCTGTCTCCGGTGAATGTTTCGGCATCTTGGAGCGCAGTGTTTCAGAACTTTGAGACCTTGGGCGCGAGCATTCTCTCGCAGCTTGTCAATGACGTTTATGTGGCGAACACGAACCGAGTAGAAGTGAGCCTTGGGGTAAGGCACGCAAAAGCTATTCGTAAGCTGTCACTGATAAGTTAACCTGACATTATTTCAAAAAAAAAATAAAAAAATCCGCAATCTCTTTGTAAAATGCAATCATGAAACAGAAGATGCATGGGGAACCCAGCACTGCCGGCAGGACCACCACGACCACGACGCAACAGCCTCATCAACGTCTCTACCGAGGCAAGACAGGCTCTCACTCTGGCCTGAAGACTATTCAGAACAGCAGACAGAGGGTTTAGGGTTTAAACCGCAACTACACGGCCCCAGCCTTGCAGAAAGTTTTTGTTGCCTCAAGCAAAACTCGGAGGGGCCACGCGGCATGGGGCGCTGTTGAAAAAAAAATAAAAAAAATTGGCGGCCTCCAAAGTGGTGCGGGTTTCGTGCTGACACCCACGGGCCGATGTGTGGTGTACTGGTGCTTTAACGGAGCAGGTTACAAAGGTAGCGGAATATTTTGGGGTCAACACAGCAGGGCCCTGTTAGCAGACCAGGACACGATAAAGCAGCAAGGGTAGACAGACGTAGAGATGCCCCCCCCGAGGGAGGAGGACCTTGTGGCGACGGATATACAACGAGGGAGTGTGTCCAGAGTCCGGCTTCTTCAACAACCTGGGCTTCGTTAAAAAAAAAAAAAAAAAAAAAAAAATGGGGACTGATGAAGGATTGACTTCCCCTCATTACGGGAAGTGGCAAATGCTGCCGGAAGAGATAACTCCGCGGGTCGAATTGTGAGATCCCCGGCCTCAATTTTTCAATTTTATTAATAAAATTAAATCAATTTAAAATTGAAATGTTTGTTTTTATTTTTATAAAAAGAAGGGAAAAAAAAAGAAAAAGAAAAAGGAAAAGAAAAAAAGACATGTAAGTTTACTAAGTTGTCAGTAATTTGACAACCTGAGGTAGTCAATGACAGGTAGGCATGAGCTCGGCCGGAATTGCCTCGATCGTCCTGCTACCTTCTTCCCCCGAATACAACGTAAGGTAATTATTATAGCTGTATTTGGGATATCTTTCAGTCTAAATACAGTTATAATGACCGTATGTTGTATTCGGGGGAAGAAGATAGACTGTTCTTCTGTTTGTGAGGGAAGAACGGCCCAGTTCCCAAGCTTACAAGGAAAGTCCTCTTTGGAATCTTCGCAAAAAAAAAACAAAAAAGAGGGCACATAAATGTGGCCACAGTGCGCCTCAGGGTTGAGCTACGTAGTCTATGTCAATTTGTAATATGTTACTGAGAAGCTGAGATGGAAAAAAAAAAAAAAAAAAAAAAAAAAAAGAGCAACAGCAGTGCGAAGAGCCTAAGAGGTTTCTTCTTAGTGGTCTGCTCTCTCTTGTTCCTTGGCAGACAAGGCCTGGGCTTGGCCAGTGTGCCTCGCCCTCAGCCTTCGCAGCGAGTTGAATGTAATGGGACGCCGGGCTCGGTTCCCAGCATATATGAAGGACTCTGGCCTCAGAAAAAAAAAAAAAAAAAAAAAAAAAAAGCAGTACGGCTACGGTTCGGCCAATTGCCCTAATTAAAAAAAAAAAAAAAAAAAAAAGAGGTTTCAACTTTCAGCTGTGACAGGTGTAACCCTTCAGCAAACACGCAATTTGGAAACAATCGCTTAATTTTGCAAGAGTTAACACAAGTACAAAAAGGTACATGATTGTGCGCCGGCGGGTATGATACCACAATTTCAAGTGCCAACTGCGCGCAAGGCGCAAATTTTATTCTTTGGCGGGGAAATGTACTGGTGGTTTAATCTTCTCTGTGTATCCTTCGGAGCCGCATATTTTATTCTTTGGCTGGGAAATTTACTGGTGGTGGAGGTGTAATCTTGTCTGTATCGTTCCAATTTAGGAGTGGCTGTACATTTGATAATTTGTGCGATAAGCTCTGTTGCTCCCTCTCCCCCCTGCTTACTATTGTTTTCCTTTTTTTTTTTTTTTTTTTTTTTTTTTTTTTTTAGCGCGTCAGTTCTGTTTCTCCCTTCTGCCCTATTGACTATTGTTTTCCTTCTCATTTTGTTGCCTTCTTTTTTCTTTTTTTTTTGTTGCCATTCTTGTCACCACTTTTCCATTTTTTTTGTTTGTTTGTTTTCTCATTTAATGAATAAGTTGAAGGAATCCCCCCCAAAGCGTGCTGGTCGAGCAAGGGACACAGCAGAAGGTTTTTGTTTTCTTTTTCCTTTTTTTTTGCATTGGGTAAGCTTTGCTTCTCCCTTTCTTCTGTTTGCCGTTCTCTTCATCCTTTTTTGAAAAATTTTCCCATTTTTTCATTTAATGTATATGTTGAAGGAATCTCCCCAAAGCGTGCTGGCCGAGCAAGAGACGCAGCAGAAATTACTGAACGATGGAGGGCTAACGGTGGAAGCCGCGAGCGAGATAGTGAACAACAGCTACGCACTTGAGTTGTTTTCAAAGCCAGCAGACGCCACGACCACAGCAGTGCTGCCCGCTCTCGATCTAAGTGATTTGATGTTCAGTCTTCCTAAGCCAATTGACAAGGTGGGAACTTCTTTTAAGTTTTTTTTGTTTTTTTGTTTTTTCCTGAACTTCACAAGTTAGTGGTGGTTGTTGATGCAGGGGGTAGGGGATAGGTTGATTAAACTTGATTTATTTGAGGCACCCCCCTTTTACTCCCTGCAGGGCCTGCACCCACACCCACACCCACGCCCACCCCTAACTTGTGACATGCAGAGAAGTGAGCTGTCCTCCACCCCCGGAGGGAACCGGGAGAGGTTGCGATTTATTTCAGCAATTGTTGTATTTGATAATTTTGAGTGAGGTTGATTGTGTTTAATTAATTAACTTTAATATTTATTATGGATTCATTTGTCTTCTTTGCAAGGCCCCTGAGATGCACTTTTGCATCGATTCCAACTACTTCCATAGCCCGTCGAAGGCCTGTCACATCGGTGGGGAAGGGTTTGTCTTCATTGAATTGTTTTGACTCTCCCCAGCTTATCCTCCCCTACACTGACCTTACGGTGCTTCCCTGGTCAGCTACGCATGCCACGTAAAAACCCCCAGTTTGATGAGAAACGCGTGCTCGTGGCGACGCTTGGTGCTGGGGTACCAAGGAGTGCTTAGGTTCCCAGAACACACCCACTATGTGGGTGTCCTTCCTGTGAACTTCCGAGTCCTGGTTGGCGTTCCACGAACACTGCACGGGGCGTGAGGTTGCTTATCACAAGCACTCCTCCAGAATTAAACCAAACACAGCATCGCCTCTCAGAATCAACATGGACACAGCAGCGCGAAGAAGAAGAAGAAGGAGAAGGAGAAGGAGAAGAAGGAGAAGGAGAAGAAGGAGAAGAAGGAGAAGAAGGAGAAGAAGGAGAAGAAGGAGAAGATGAAGAAGCAGAAGAAGGAGAAGAAGAAGAAGAAGAAGAAGAAGAAGAAGAAGAAGAAGAAGAAGAAGTGGCTGCCAAAAGGGGGAAGATATGGCAGCGCCTAACCCCATAAGCACAGATCTGGTGTCACCGGGCTCAGCGCCTCAAGCACCTGCTTCAGCGCTGACTCTGAGCTCAGCAGTCACCTGCAGCTATGCCGCTGCTCCAGCAGCCTGGCAGCGTCAACAACAATCTTTCAGCAGCGTTTCACCCACTGCAGACCAACAGGTCCAAAAGACCTCTACCTCTACGACTGGACTCTATTTATATTTGTCTACCGACCCAGTGGACCAGTCTAGGACCTAAGACTCAGCTAAAAATAACGCTCCTGCCTCTTCCAGTGACGAAGGAACCGGTCTCAGGCAATCATGAAGACTGACCAGTCCCTTGCAGTCACGAAAGGTCGCCAGTCCCTTACAGTCAGGAAAGGCCAGTTTAGGCCGGGATGGATTTAAAGACCAGTAGTAAGGGTTTTCAGGAGTTTACAGAAATGTCCCTGTTGGACTAGGCCTGTTTCAGTTACCCGTTCGGACCCAAAGGTCAGAAAAATTACAAAATTTGCCAGTTAGTGTTACAGCCCACTGAGAAACTGCAAGTTCATTGCATATATGTATATATCGATATCGTCAAACAGAACTGCCCGGTAAACTGTCCGCAGAGAGGGAGAAGAGGACAACAAACGAGGGGCTGTGACAAACGGTTTTGTCGGAGTTTCACCAACTCCTCAGGAGGCTGAACCATATATATCTAGGTGAAACTTCAACGAAACAGTTTGTCACAGCCCCTCGTTTGTTGTCCTCTTCTCCCTCTCGGCCTACAGTTTACCAGGCAGTATATATCGTCACAAACAGAACTGCCCGGTAAACCGTAGGCAGAGAGGGAGAAGAGGACAACAAACGAGGGGCTGTGACAAACTGTTTCGTCGGAGTTTCACCGACTATCGTCACAAATATATATATATATATACGATATATATATATATCGTCAAATAGAACTGCCCGGTAAACCGTAGGCAGAGAGGGAGAAGAGGACAATATATATATATCGTCACAAACAGAACTGCCCGGTAAACCGTAGGCAGAGA